AAAAAAAAAAAAAATGTGACATAAAAATAATAATGATGATGAGGTTATTGCACCTTTAACTGCATGTTTAGGTCTAGCTAATGATTTTTAGCTTTACATGAAAAAATATTCGTATTAAAATTTCAATAAACTCGGATTTTCTAATATTTGATTCAACAATCAACATTGTTGTAAGAAAGCACGCAAACTATAAAGGTCGAGCAAAAGTCACAAAGAACGAAACATACTAAAATTGCGGAGCAGGATATGACTTAGGGTCATAATACGGTGGCACCTGGTTCATTGCTGTGGTTCTATTTATTGGAGGAATTGCCGTCATCAACCCAGATTCTTGATTACTGCCAAAAAAAAAATACAAAATCGACAACATTAAACTCCATAAGCTACACGCGTTTTATGAAATTATTCTCTTTCTTTCTTTGTTTTGTTCATTGTTTGGATCCCAGGTTTTACAAACTGGGTACTATGAAATGTAGACCTTGTTGTGTAGAGGGCATGAGGATGTGCATAACTTTGGTATAGAGCATTCAACTCGGGCCTGGGAAAGTAGAAAAAAATAATTGCGCAATTAAACTAATTACGAGTGATAACTACAAAAATTAGCAAAGCATTAAGAAAATTACACTGGCTGTTGACTAGGAATTTGCTGAAACTGAACAGCACTTGGTGGCAGTTGTCCACCAGTTTGTCTCATCAACTCGGCATATACATACTCGTCAACTCGTTGTTTGGCAAGAGCAACCTACCAAACAGAATTTTGGCATCAAGAATATATTCCACATCTCGTATCATAAAAGATCAAGCCGTTCAGAGTTGAGAGTTCAATTTCTTATGCAGGAAATATAAGACGATATTATTTTCTTCACTGTGAATTAATTAATTGATCTCTTCAGACTACTTGTTAGCATTATTAAGCTCATGTTCTTGAATTATTAGATTGTCTATGTCAAAACTAAATTCACATTAAAGGCACGTAGAATTTACAAAAGTAATTTGAAGAATAAAAGCAAATAAGGTTCTGTATACCTGTTGAGCATTACCACCTAAATGGATCTGCCTTTGTGTTTGTTCACCTCTCGCACCATAAACCTGCAAAATAAAAAACACCAAATACGAGTACAAGTAACGACCCCATGAAGATCAGGCATTGAGTTCAGCTATTATTACTTATTAGCACGAAATTCATAGTAATGACTAAAAGTTACCTTAATATTTGCTCCAGACTCGTTTCTGATCCTTGATATGTTGGCGCCAAACCTTCCAATCAAACCGCCGACAAGATTTTCAGGAACCATGACATCCAGATTTACATAACTACCTGCAAGATTGATTATCTCAAGGATATTGATAAGTTGTTTAATAATAAAGCAATCAAATGCATCACATATTTTGCAAACATTAATGACCTGAATTAGGATCTACATAATGTTGCGATTGGCGACGAAAGCCAGTGTTATTTGTTGGGTTGGCAGATATTACCTGTTTAGGTGGATTATCCCTATAATTGAAAAACAGCAGATACATTAGAAAATAGCCAAACAGTAGTCAATAAAAACATATAAACTAGAACCATTATAAATCTGCACCTAAGTTGACACCCAATTTCCACAACAGCCCTCAAAACTGCAGGAAGTTCTCCTGATATCTGCAAGAACAATACAATAAATAAACATATCTGACTACTATAAAATAGAAGAAAACAAACTCAAGATATTGAACTGAGAATGCAGGCTAACTGGTGAAGCAAAATTCTCAAACAATTCTACTTTATTTCACATAAGTAAATTATTTACTAATCGCCGATTGGTTATTTTTTTATTTTTTCATTTAATGATGGCAACAACCGATATGGTATATGTTATCCAGTGTTTTTTTTTTTTTAATTTATTGTGAGGGGACTCCCCTTGACAGAACAACTCTCTACTTCAAGTATGTTCAGGAGGTCTCATAAATAAATACTAAACCAGCGACTTAATGCCGAAAGAACAAAATTTTATATACGGATACAAGTCACAGGTGAAAAGGTAAAACAAGCAATATATCCATCTTTAAAATCTGCTTAATGCACAAAATCTCCTGAAAACGTACCTGAACAACTCGATCAGATTCGTGTGCAGATGCACATGGAGGCAACTGATTAGGAGACAGGACAGTGATAGCTGCTCCGGATGTAGTCCTTAAGTTCACTATATTTTGACCTGAAACTCCAATCAAACCACCGGCTTGAGATCCAGCAATCAGAAGTCGAACTGTATTAGCAGCCACATGTCCGGCACCCACTTTCAATGCCTCAGTATCGCCTTCATCGTCCTTTTCGAGATTGAAAATTAAATCACATATTAAAATAAATGTTAAACAGTACTAGACACGGGTATTCAAATAGGCAAGCCTAGAGCCAAATACAACACTCTTATGCAAGCTATTCTCAGAACTTAAATATACCCTATTCACTTTCCTGGTTACTCAAACTCAATAAGACACTAGTTTCCTAGTTCCCAGTCAAAAACAATCCACAGTAATATACCACCCCTCTCCTCTCCCAGAAGAGGAAGGAAAACAAACAAACAAACATACAAACAAATAAATGGATACCTATGGTTGGACGTGGGGGAATTTCATCATCATTTCCTTCTCCAGCCTTTCAAGGCCAAGAAGACAATCACTGTTCTAATATTATCCATAGTTTAATGCCAGATATCGTCTCATACATTCATAACTATTTGACTATTTGATTTACAACAAATTCAAGTTGCCAATTATGACTCTACATTTATGATTAAGCGTTTTACTTACTTCCTAAGATAAAGTACAGATTAAGGTTGTGCTCTACAAAACCTACATGACTACAAAAAGGAAAAAGGCATGTTCCCCTTTTTCTGTACAAATATTAATTGGGCTAATGGGCTTCAAGTCTTTCTGTGTGCTACCTTTAGGATGAGGCTAACAATTTGATGAAGAGCATTTTCCGCATCCGAAAAAACGTTGTCACTGTCCTCGGAACTGATAATGATCACCCTCTCTTCATGTCGCTGAAATAAAATGTATGTTATATAGTTCCCACAGTCAAAAGCAGCATCATATAAAATTAAACTCATCGCACGACATTGTAGACAGTTGGGACCAAGAACATGTAGACAACAGACTGCATCAATTCAAGTGACTTGAAACCACAAACACTTCGTTTCCTTGAATCTAAGCATACCCTCCACATCAAGACCCAAATGCAGTTGGGTCCAGATGTAGGAACAAATCTCAGACTACACCATATTTAAGACACAGCATCATGGTCCCCCAGGCTCGGTCCTCACCAGATCCAAGGTTCTTCTCATTGTTCCTGGATGCAAGTTAGATTTTCAAATTGATCCGGAAAACACATACACAAAAACAGAAAGTAAGAGAAGGGATAAAAGGGGATCCTAATTGTGAATTGTGATAGAGTAGAAGAACATGAGGGGTTGCAGGTCAGTCTACACTTACTACAAAAAAGCGGGGAGGGATAATTTGGGGAACTGGGGCGGGGAAAGAAATGGTGGGGAGGGGTANGTTTGGGAATAGGGGTGGGGAGGGAAGGAGTTTCTCGTTTTCAAAAAGCAAGGGCAAATCTGACCTATATATGACAGGTGTTTGTTATTGAGCAGTGATTAAACATGAACCAGGTCCAAAAAATTCCAGCTCAAGTGGATCCTGGAACAGATTATAGACCCGCCTCGCTGGTCTATGTCCAAATTCCTGACTACATACTTTAAGGTTCTTTATCTGTAAGAGAAAAGCTGCAGAGAAGAAAACAGGAACATGAGAAGATCATTTTATTCCCATACGCCGTGTTTACTTCCCCTTAATTCAGATACTACAAAACCAACAGATGACATCAAACGGTATCTAGAAATTCTAATGCTCTACCCACAGTAATATGTTTCAAATAAGATGAGGTCCCACAAGTCATGCGATTACTTAAATTTTTTCACACATGTTCAAATTTCACTATCATTTGCTTACTCGGTAAACCATGGAGAAGAAAGTTCAATTCGAAACAGAGCGTAGAGTTTTCCAGCTTCATTTCCAATCACTTTACTAGTTACCTAAACACTACCATAAATTGCTCAAAAGCCAGGTTCATCTCCTACTACACTCCACCAAAGGAACAAATATTTCTAAACACCAATTTATCCTACTTTAAGCTCCTCGACTTTATTTATAAGCAAGGGAGATTCAATTAACACTTTCTCAAACAACTTTACGGAACCCCAATGATCACTAACGAACTCATGGCCAATAAAGAGCTAACTCTACATATGACTAGCAATATTCCCAAAACGAACTATCAATTAAGGAAATAACAATTTCACTAACAGAGATAGCATCAGCAATCTTAATTGCAGCCTTAGAATCCTCCCGAATCTTCTGGATGCGATGCCCCGACCTTCCAATAACCTTCCCAATCTGCCTACAGGGCACCACAATGCGGTATATCAGATCTCCGGAAGCCCTCACGCGCCTCTTCGCCGCCGGAGCATCAGTTGTGCTGGTTCCTTCCGCCTCTCCTTGAGTCGCGTCGCGGGGCCGCTTGAGAGTGGCGGCAGCAGTAGATGCGACGGCGGGGTCCGAAGGACGCGGATCGTCCGCAGCAACAGCGGCCTCGGACGGCGCAGCAGAGGTATGATTCGGATCGACCTCCGGCGCCGGTTGAGAGTCGCGGTTCGAAGGTGGGTGGCTCGGATTTGGGTTCGGGCTCGGGTCCGCAGGGGTTTCAGTTTGGGACATGGCTGCAGCTGACGACGAATGAACAATGAAAGATGGATAATGCACGTGACAGTAGTCGAGGGTTGTAATTTGCTAAACTCGCAAGTATGCCCTTGGCCAGATCTATATTTTCATAATTTGAGGGTACTTTCATAATTTGAGGATATTAATATATTATAGTTATAACTGAATATATATAATTATAATATTAAAAATGAGTTGTTTTCAATACAAGAACTGAAAGATGAATAAATTATCAATTTGGGTCCTGAAAGTTTTTTTTCTCATTTCGAGACTTAAATGTTATAAAACTATCAAATTAAGTTTAGAATTAAGTAATTAACAAAACTCATAACATCATTACATTGATAACTTCAATTTCTCAATCTCAAGACAATTTAAGCAAAGCAATTAACAAAGGGATTTCGGTCTTAGAGGAACGAATGACGCGAACCGAAGTGAAGTCAAAGGAGCTCGACCAATAGTAAATGGGGGAAACGGGGTTGGAAGGAATGAAATGAAAGAAAAAAAGACGCGGCAGATCGGGTTTTTTTTCAAGAAAGGCTGGCTAAGGTAGCCCTTTTGAATGAAATTTCTTCCAAACCGGAATAGACTTAAGTCTTTAGAACTATTTACACGGCTCGATCGACTACGAAAGAAGAAGGCTAGGAAGTGAATCTGAATATGCCTGCTCGAGAATGCCCTCTTTTTGTTCTCTCAATCTTCAGGGGAAGTGGTCAAGTAAGATCTCCTGTACAAGAAATATATTTATCTACAAACCTGGGATTACTTCTTCTTTTTTCATTTCTCTCCTTCCTAAAAGAATGGGCTTTTCACTTCGTTATGAAAACCTTTAGCAATCTTANNNNGGGGGGGGGCTTCGACCTTCTTAGGAAGAGCCGTACGGGGCTGCTCACGTACGGTTCGGGAGCCGAGCCACTGCACATGGGCTTAGGTCAACACTTTTATATTAGCCAGTCATTAATTGGAAGCAGGTAATATGGAGATAAATTGTGATAATAAGTTAGTGGTATCCGTCTGTAAGTAGATCTGTCTTCTACTTGACTGGACTCCCTCGCTTGGTACTGCAAAGCTATTCCTCGCCTAGCTCTCATCCGCCTATCTTACCAACCTTTGGTACTTCGCCTAGCTAGTCACCGCCTAGTCAGTCCTCGCCTAGCTCCCATTCTCCTAGCTTACCAATCTTTGGTACTCCACCTAGCTAGTCACTACCTAGATAGTCCTCGCCTAGCTCTCATCCGTCTAGCTTACCAACCTTTGAAACTCCTTCTAGCTAGTCACCGCCTAACTAGTCCTCGTCTAGCTCTCATCCTCCTAGCTTACCAACCTTAGGTACTCCGCCTAGCAAGTCACTGCCTAACTAGTCCTCGCCTAGCTCCCATCCGCCTAGCTTAACAACTTTTGGTACTCCGCCTAGCTAGTCCCCGCCTAGCTAGTCCTCGCCTAACTTACCAATCATTGGTACTCCGCCTAGGTAGTCTTCGCCTAGCTTACCAACCTTTGGTACTCTGCCTAGCTAGTCCCCGTCAAGCTCTCATGCGCCTAGCTTACTAACCTTTGCTACTTCGCCTAGCTAGTAAGTGCCTAGTTAGTCTTCGGCTAGCTAGTACTCGTCTAGCTCCCAACCGCCTAGCTTACCAACTTTTCGTACTCAGCCTAGCTAGTCCCCGCCAATATAATCCTCGTCTAGCTCTCATCCGCCTAGCTTACCAATCTTTGGTACTCCGCCTAGCTAGTCCTCGCCTACCTTACCAACCTTTGGTACTCCACCTAGCTAGTCACCGCCCTAGCTAGTCCTCATCTAGCTTACTAACCTTAGGTACTCCGCCTAACTAGTCACCGTCTAGCTAGTTCTCGCCTAGTTAATCCTCAGTCCTTGCCTAGCTAGTCTTTGCCTAACTCCAATTCGTCTAGCTTACTAACCTTTGGTACTTCTTCTAGCTAGTCCCTGCAAAGTTAATACTCACCTAGCTAGTCCTCGCCTAACTCCCATCCACTTAGCTTACCAATCTTTGGTACTCTACCTAGTTAGTCCTCGCCTAGCTTACCAACCTTTGTACTCCACCTAACTAGTCACCGCCTAGCTAGTCCTCGTCTCGCTTACCAACCTTTGGTACTCCGCCTAGCTAGTCCCCGCTTAGCTAGTCCTTGCCTAGCTCCCACCCGCTTAGCTTACCAATCTTTGGGACTTCGTCTAGCTAGTCCTCGTCGAGCTTACCAACCTTTAGTACTCCGCCTAGCTAGTCACTGCCTAGCTAGTCCTCGTCTAGCTTATCAACTTTTGGTACTCCATCTAGCTAGTCCCCGCCTAGTTAGTCCTCGCTTAGCTCCCACTGGTACTCCGCCTAACTAGTCCCCGCCTAGCTAGTTCTCGCCTAACTAGTCCTCGCCTACCTCTCATCCGCCTATGTTACCAACTTTTGGTACTCCACCTAGCTAGTTCTCGCCTAGCTTACCAACCTTTGGTACTCCGCATAGCTAGTCCTTGCCTAGCTAGTCCTCGCCTAGCTCCTATTGGTACTCCGCCTAGCTAGTCATCGCCTAGCTAGTCGTTGCTTAGCTCCCATTGGTACTATGCCTAGCTAGTCATCGCCTAGCTAGTCCTCACCTAGCTTCCATCCGCCTAGCTTACCAATCTTTGGTACTTCGTCTAGCTAGTCCTCTCCTAGCTTATATCCACCTAGCTTACCATCCTTTGGTAATTCGTCCTCGCGTAGCTAGTCCTCGCCTAACTTACCAACCTTCGGTACTCCGCTTAGCTAGTCACTGCCTAGCTATTCCTCGCCTAGCTAGTCTTTGCCTAGCTCCCATTCGTCTACCTTACCAACCGGTGGTACTCCGTCTACCTAGTTCTCGCCTAACTAGTCCTCGCCTAGCTCTCATCCGCCTAAATTACCAACTTTTGGTACTCCGCCTATCTAGTCCTCGCTTAGTTCAATCCGCCTAGATTACTAACTTTTGCTCCGCCTACACCACGAAATCATGAGCTCGTCACTTCATTGAAATCAGAGTCCTTGAGTTATTCACCTCATTAAAAGCATGAGCTCGTCACATTGCCGACACCACGAGCTCATCATATTGCGAAACTGTGAGCTCGTTATATCGCTGGAACCATAAGCTCGTCACACTGCAGAGACCATGAGCTCGTCACCTCATCGAAATCATGAGTTCGTCACACTACAGAGACCATGAGCTCTTCACCTCATCAAAATCATGATCTCATCACACTGTAGAGACCATGAGCTCGTCACATCACCGACACCACGAGTTTTTCATACCGCGAAACAGTGAGCTCACCATATCGCAAAAACCGTGAGCTCGTCATATCGCAAAATCGTGAGCTCGTCATATTGCCGAAACCAAGAGCTCGTCACACTGCAGAGACCTTGAGCTCGTCACCTCGTTGAAATCATGAGCTCGTCACCTCGTCGAAATCATGAGCTCATCACACTGGAGAGACCTTGAGCACGTCACCTCGTCGAAATTATGAAATCGCCACACTACAGAAACCTTGAGCTCGTCACCTCATCGAAATCATGAGCTCGTCACGCTGCAGAGACCTTGAACTCGTCACCTCGTCAGAATCATGAGCTCGTCACCTCGTCGAAATCATGAGCTCGTCACACTGCAGAGACCTTGAGCTCGTCACCTCGTCGGAATCATGAGCTCGTCACCTCGTTGAAATCATGAGCTCGTCACACTGCAGAGACCTTGAGCTCGTCACCTCATCGGAATCATGAGCTCATCACACTGCAGAGACCTTAAGCTCGTTACATTGTCGGAATGAGCTCGTCACACTGCAGAGACCTTGAGCTCGTCACCTCGTCGGAATCATGAGCTCCTCATATGGCTTTATATCATGAGCTCGTCCTTCCCCAATCACCGAGATCCCATCTCATGTTGAGATCATAAGCCCGTCATACGCTAGTACTATGAGCTCATCCTATTGCAGGAAACCTTGAGATCGTCACATCGCAGGAAACCTTGAGCTCGTCACATCGCCGAAACCATGAGCTCATCATACCGCGAAACCTTAAGCTCGTTATATCGTGAAACCGTGAGCTCGTCATATAGCAAAAATTGTGAGCTCGTCATATTACGGAATCGTGAGCTCGTCATCTCACGAAAACCGTGTGAGATCGTCATATCGCCGAAACCATGAGCTCGTCACACTGCAGAGACCTTGAGCTCGTCACCTCGTCAGAATCATTAGCTCGTCACGCTGCAGAGACCTTGAGCTTGTCACCTCGTCGAAATCATGAGCTCGTCACAATGCCGACACTACGAGCTAGTCACCGCCTAGCTAGTCCTCGTCTAGCTCTCATCCGCCTAGCTTACCAACATTTGGTACTCCGCCTAGCTAGTCCTCGCGTACCTCCCATCTGTCTAGCTTACCAAAACTTTGGTACTCCGCCTAGTTAGTCCCCACCTAGCTAGTACTCGCCTAACTCCTATTGATACTCCACCTAGCTAGTCCTTGTCTAGCTAGTACTCGCCTAGCTCCCATCCACTTAGCTTACCAACTTTTAGTACTCCGTCTAGCTAGTCCTCGCCTAGCTTACCAACCTTTGGGACTCCGCCTAGCTAGTCACTGCCTAGCTAGTCCTCGTCTAGCTTACCAACTTTTGTTACTCCTTCTAGCTAGTCCCCGCCTAGCTAGTCCTCGCCCAGCCCCCATTGGTACTCCGCCTAACTAGTCCCTGCCTAGTTAGTTCTCGTCTAATTAGTCCTCGCCTACCTCCCATCCGTCTATCTTACCAACCTTTGGTACTCCGCCTAACTAGTCCTCGCCTAGCTAGTCATCGCTTAGCTCCCATTGGTACTCCGCCTAGCTAGTCTTCGTCTAGCTTCCATCCGCCTAGCTTACCAACCTTTGGTACTCCGCCTAGCTAGTCCTCGCCTAGCTTATATCCACCTAACTTACCAACCTTTGGTACTCCGTCCTCAAGTAGCTAGTCCTCGCCTATCTTACCAACATT